CGCCCCAAAACCCCAAAACCCCAAAACCCCGCTTAAGATTACGAAGACAGAAATAAATAAAAATGAAGCCTTTAGGCAAAGTGGCAATGCTGTTGGGGGTCTTCCTCCATTATGTCATGTGATATGTCTATATTTTCAGAGTCACCTTCCAGTACAGTGGCAGCATGTTTATTCCATACGTTATGATGCTAGTTCATCTGGCAATTACACTGTATAACCAGTTTGGTAAGTACGCTTGGTCAAGGACTAAGCATTAGGAACGAATAGAGGTGATGCTTACTTATAGTTTTCTCGGTGACCTGTAGAGCTGAAGGTGAAGAAATACCTCAATTGTTGAATTTCAATCAAGGGTAAGTGGTTAAAGCTGTTAGACTTAACATTCTGGATATTTTTATCAATTTCTTAGAGCGTCCAAAAATAATTCAACATTTTAATATATTTCCATAAAAATCCTTCTTTTGGCAAAATTCTCTATTTTATTTTCTAAATTACTAAGAACTTTGTCAATAACAGTATGATTCTTCAAATAAATTAAGCAAAATAATTCAGTTTGGAAGCTTGAACTCCCTCTTTGAATTGCTAGCAAGAGTTCTACTTTAGAAAAATCCTTCTTGAGTTCTAGGGTTTCATTAATAATCTAATTGTTATAGCTTCTTGAATTTCATCAGACTGATTTTCCTCTGGGATCTCTTCTACTTCAACTCAGATTGTTTGGACAAACTCAAGGCAACAGTTCAGAGGTTTGAAGGAAAATGGAGTTTTTGGATTAATGGTGCAAGGACTTTCTTCTTACTAAGAAATATTGCATATTTTATAGCAATTAAAAATCTCCAAGATTTTGAGCTGGCATTCTTCTTCTGTTATTTCTATGCTGTTGTCAACCTGCTTCTCATATTTCATGATACTAAATATGTGGTAGCTATTATTTGTTCCTTTATCTTGATTCCATTTGTTATTATCGGAGATTGATTTACTGCTCTTTTCAACAAATGTAAGAGAAATCATCAGGGTAACGCTCGAGCAATTGAGAGAGAGAATTTAGAAAATGCAAACAATGCAATCAATGTAGCCAATGCCAGAGAAGACAATAACAATTTTAATAATCTTGAAGGTAACTTACACAAAAGTACTTTAAACAACAAGCTAGGTTAGAGTCTCAGTAGTTTTGTGAAGAATGCATCATAAGTTAATTTCAAATTCCATTCAATGAGAGTACAGTAAATTTATCAATTAGCAGATTTTCAAGTTCGCTGCATATTCTTTAAAATCAAAGTTTACCTTGGTTAATGACTCCGCCATGAACAGTTTAGCATTATGAGATTCGTACCTCTAATATTTTTCATTCAGGAGAACGACCGAGACAACTCTTCAGCGAAATAGGTCCTGAAAATGAGGAAAGACTAGCAATTCAGAGGAATAATGCCAATAATGTTCAAAGTAGCGAAGGATTTCAAGTGAACATGAGAAATCTTGCTTTTGCATTCATGGATGCTGCCAACCACCAGAAGAAGTTCCTCAGACTTGACTCTACACTCTCAGTTGAGATGATGATGAAGAATTGGAGCCGAAAGTTCACAGAGGAAGATACCAACGCATGTCCAAGCTGCTGAGTCTGATTGGAAGACTTCGAGGTTGGAGAGAACATCATGGAGCTTCATTGAAACCCCAAAAGTCATGGTCATATGTTCCATTTGGAGTGTATCGATAGCTGGTCGAAGAAAGAAAAGACATGTCCACTCTGCAGGAAGAACTTCATTGATATCGTCAGAGACGAATATAGTAGAGGAGCCTTAATCAAAAAGAAGAATGAGGAATTTAAAGCACCGGGAAAACTTGAAGAAGCCTCTAATATATCTGAAGAAAGAAAGGAAGCTGATAGAACAGTTCAGAGCAGGAGAGATTCGTCTGAAAGCTATGAGCCTTCAGCAAGCATTTATACCTCTCAAAGCCTTTCACCACATCAGATTGAAGTTAATGAGCCATATGATCCTATTGCTCCTGTTAATAACCGAGCTGCTAGTCAACCTAATGACCCTCCTGCTAATCCTATCCAACCAGGTCTACTGCAAGCTCATAATGATCCTAGTGCTCCTGTGCAACATCCTGATCACCCACCAAGCATTCACTCGTCGCAAGACTTTCCAATCCCCCGTTCTCATGAAGGAGAGCCTTCGAACCAAGGCTCTATTTTCTATCCTAGAAGCAGCTTTTCAGAAAGCATGAGTTCAGAAATGGAGGCAGACTCTTCCTAATTTTGCTGACTCAACTAAATATCCATAGATTGGGGTTTTGGGGTTTTGGGGTTTTGGGGTTTTGGGG